TTTCTTTCATTCTGATGTGCGCATAGTAACTATTCTTACAGAAATAAACGCTAACATGCATTTCCATCGTTATTATTTTTTTTTACGTTAATCAAACGTTCAGAAGAAAATGGCCTCCACGACATATCCAATTAACTACTTTGCTATGAGCTCTTTCTAAAATGAGCAATTATTTAAAAACAGGAAAAACCAACATTTAAAAAGTGAAAAAAGTAATTCTTTTGAAAATACATAAAATATTGCATTTATTTTAGAATTGAAGAATAAGACAAAAGATGAGCGATGGAGGAAGATGCAAAAATGAAAAAGAACAAAAAAGGAAGGCAAATGAAAGTCGGCAGGGAAAAATTAAAACAAAATGGAATCAGCAAGGAAAATTTTGAATGAAAGAAAAAAAGTGACGGAGAACAAAAGGAGTAAAAAGAATGGATAAATGAGGAAATAAGCCTCGAAGTGAAAGGGAAGGAAGTAACATGGACGAATAAAGAAGAGAATAAAAAATAAAAAGAACATTTGAGAATTTAATTAGTGAAATAGATGAACAAAATTGGATGAGAAGAAAGATGAAGAAAAATGAAAGAAGAAAAATAAATAAGAAAATGAAAAAAAGGAGAAAAGAAAGAAGAATTTAAAAAGCGAAAAGAAAAAGAAAAAGGAATAAAATTTAAAAAAAAGATGAGAACGAAGGGATGAAGAATTTTGAAAAATCTATAGATAGATATGCATTGACTGAGATAGATAGATTAGATATGTATTGAGATAGATAGATGAATGCATACATATGCATTAAGATGAATAGATAGAATGATGAATAGATATGCAGAGATAGATGGATATTCATTAACTGACATGAATACATATGCATTGAGATAGATACAGAGATATGCATTGATTGAAATAGGTAAAAGCCTACATTGAGATGGAATATGCTTTGACTGAGATGAATGTATGTATTGAGATAGATAGATACATACATGAATATGCATTGAGATAGATAGATGGGCGATAGATAGATGAATGATAGATGAATAGATATGCATTGAGATAGATACACAGATATGCATTGATTGGAATATAGGTAAATATGCATTGAGTTAGATATGCTTTGACTGAGATAGATAGATAGATAGATAGATAAATGGAGAAATGAATAAATGAATAGATGAGATAAAAATGCATCAGAAAATGAAGTCAGAGAACAGGGGAAAGGAAGAATAGAGCAAAATAAAGAGGAATAAAGAAAAGAATCAGTGAGAGAGAGGGAGAGAGGAGAGAGAGAGAGAGAGGGAGAGAGAGGGAGGAGGAGGGGCGAGGTAGATAAGAAAAGAAGAAAGGAAAAGAAAGGTTAAAATAAAAATAGAATAAAAGTGGAAACTCTTTTGATTCCGTTTTTTGTGCTTTGTCAGGAAATAAAGACTCATATAGGGGAGAGAAAAAGAAAGAAAATAAAAAGACTTCTGCGGAAGTAACGATTCATTGAGAGAAAAAGAAAGAAGTCTGCATAAAGTATAGACCATATAAGGTGAAGGAAGATCGACTGCTGAGGAGTAAGCATTCGTAGAGAGAGAAATAAATAAAAAGAAAGACTGTTTAGAAAGACATAGGGATGAAAGAAGAAAAAAAAACGGCGTGAAGTAAAACTCATATAGAAAGAAAGAATGAAAGCAAGACTGCGGAGAAATAATGACTCCTATAGAGGAGGAACAAAAAAAAAAAAAAGATAGACTATGTAGAAGTAATGGATCATATAGAGAGGAAAGAAAGACTGCGGAGAAGTAAAGACTTATATAGAGAGAAAAAAATGAAGACTCTAGATAAAAAGGCTCATATAAGAGAAAAAAAGAAAAAAGACTGTGTAGGTAAAAGGCTCACACACAAAGTGAAAAAAAAAAAAAAAGAAAGACTGCGGAGAGAAAAAACTTTATACAGAAGAAGAAAAGAAAAAGAAAACAGTGAAGAAAAAGGCAAGAAGGAAAGAAAAGAAAAGAGAAAAAGACTGTGTAGAAGTAAATATTTATATATAAAAGAAATAGCAGATATGAGATAGTAAAGTTTCACATAGAAAAAATTATATCTGCAGATAAAAAAGAGCATATATATATATATATATATATATATGTATATATATATATATATATATATATATATATATATATATATATATTCAGCCAGAAACGTTGTAATAAATACGGCGACAAAGATGAAAAGGATAATGAGTCGAATAATGTAAATAATTATTACATAATGCCTCATCTCACAACTGAAACGTTCACGGCCCGACTCACTTTACAAAATCTGAAGCAAATGTTTTTATTTTTTCCTTAATCCCCTGGCCGGGGCTAGAGCGTTTTACCGATCTACGTATATGAATATTACAGAAGTCAATTGTTGTAAAATCATAGAATGTTTTTTTCTTTTGAATCGCTTTTTTTTCTCAAGTTCACTATTGAATGGAGCGGTGCCATATTTTCGGATCTGTTCTGAAATCAGCATTAACTCATACGTAATAAATAAAATGTGAAATGAATTTTAACTTTTGTTTTCTTATTGATCTACGAATACATAATAGTTGATAAATAATACGGGTAGTTAATTCTGACGCTTTGTTTTCTTGAGCTACGTTGGTCATAATTGTATGTTGACAGATATTTATTTCACGCATGACATGGCCCAGCGTTGCCCGATAACTGACAAAAATCTTACGACTCATGCAACGATCGCTATCACTTGACTAATTTGCCCTTCGCCCGCAGCACAAAGGTGCCCACTTTGCCGTTCTGATGTTGCTACATGCCTTATGCTTGCCTATCTCCTTGCGAATTTTTTTAAGCTCTATACTAAACATTAAATCTGTTACGAAAAAGGACTCAAATAAATGAACACAAAACGATCAGCTTTAAAAAGGACTCGTAAATCAAAAAACCGAATGAAAAAGAATGTTAACAACAAATAATTTTCACACAAACCCAGTTCTGCCGGAATCAGAATCAACGTTGAGTTTTAAGCAAGTTAATATGAGGCCAATTGGATGAAAGTGCATGCAGATTTAAATTTTCCGCTTTCAGACAGATGCAGCTATCAATGTTTTTGCATGCTAGCATCTGCTAGTTAACATTCGTGTCAGTCAGCTGTTGGCTCTCCGCTTCAGCCATTAATAGAATCTTCCTGCCTATTCGTGAAAGCTAGCTGTTGGCTCTCACTCGCCAGTAGAAAATGGCCTCAAACTACATGAAAACTGCCGTGAAAGGCTTGAAAAAATCGATTATTTCCATTATCGATGCAGGAGCTGGGAAATGTAAAGTCGGTCTTGGCCTTCCTGCTAACTTGGAGCGAGCATGTGAATGTAAAATTTTGGTGCTAATCCATCGAAATTGCAGCAGTGCATTCACACACACACACACACACACACACACACACACACACACACACACACACACACACACATATCCTGTCTTTTTATAGATAGAGATTTGACAGGGGAGAAAAACTAATTCATGCGGACGTCGAGAAAACGAACACATCGATGAAAAGATTTTTTTTTTAAGCAGATAATTTTTTACGAAACATCTGGCAATCTGTTGTTGACATAATCTTAGAGATACTCATATTATTCTATATATTATTTGAGTAACCCTTAACACTATTTTAGATGCTTTTAACCCATTAGAAAACAAACACAGCTGCATTTAGAAGAACTTGCCTACAACAGTAGGGAACCTCCTTACTCTTTCACAACATGTACCAAAGAACAGCTTTAAAAAAAAAGGCTTTTTCAGGCTGGTGATATTGCATTTTTGTTGAAGATTATAATAAAAGACATTCTCTTCTAATGCCGTGTCCTTTTAGGATGTGGGGATCATGGCTCTCTCTAAATTCCTATCCTTTATAGCTCTTTTGTAATGTATCTACTCCCTGTTACACAAGCTCCTCAAGCAGATTACTCTTTGATACCCTATGTACTGTGAGTGTTTAATTTTCCATGCCTTCTCTCTTCATTATATCTCCTAGAAATTTCAAAAGTCTCTATTTAATTTTAAAAGCTTAAACGTCCTTTTTTGTTTCAATTTTCTTAAATTTTTCCTCGTTATTCACATATTTAGTCTATGGTATTGCAAGACACTGAGGTCCCAACACTGTGTTAAGTCTCTTTCGGATCAACCAACCAAAGCTTTTATCCACTGGGCCACGTGTCCTTGGTGACGTTAGTGAGTTAATTTTCTTTTTTCTTAATGCTTTTGTTGGGTTAGAAATGGCGATTATTTCCCTTTCGTTGAGATATTCACGAGGATCACGTGACCACCGGTGAATGATGTCGGGAGATAGATTGACGTGTGCAGTTGTCATGTAGAGCCCAGAGACGAAGGATATCTTTAGAGGACTTCAGCGGTAGGACTTACATGCAAAAGTATATGGCCTCATCCAGTTCGTAGAGAAGCCGTCATAATTCAGTTTTCTCTTCAGAAAATATAACAAGTTAGGTTCCCATTTTTTACACACTATTGAATATATGTTATAATTTTTTGCGTAGGACACTTGTATATATGTATATATCTAATTTTGCGTACGACGTATCATTATAAACTTTTGCATGTGTTTTATTCTTTTCCATTCAGCTCTTCCTTCCTGTCCGTGAAATATCGGTGTTGATATATTATGGATATAGCAATGATTATAACGTGAGAAAAGGTATTAGGGAAAATGAATTTCTTTCTCACGCTCCCTACACTTTTCTTAGCTTTTGGAAGGCATCATTTGCTATTCTAATGCGCATTAGAATTTCGGTGTCACACCGTTTCGGTGTTAAGTGCCCTATTTTTTCTTTTCAGGTGCATATCGATCTAGTTAACTTAAAGGGATTCCAAACTGAACCCTTTTTATTTAATCTACGGAGATAGACTGTTCTCGTTACACTGTCTATGGATAACGTCTAGTTCTTCTTCTTATTGAGTAATTGCATGTTAAAACAAGGATGAAAGTAAGGGTTTTAGAAGTTACTAAGAGCAAAAATAAAAAGGAGCTGTAGAATGTGGGGTCCTGAAGGCTTCCCTTCAAAGTTGTTGAGATCATGGCTCACCACAGCTTCCTCTATTCCGTTGTTCTCAACATTGGGTTCTATTATTATCCATTTTCTCTTCACTGGGCTTCTTACTTCATTATCAGTCAAGTCGACTTCTCCTTTTGCCGCTGTTTCTTTTGCCTTCGACATCTCCTTTAAGTGTTAAATTCTCACAGCCCTTCTTTCTTCAGGATGTGATTAAAAAAACCAACTCTCTCTTTCTAATTAATATAAATAGTTTCTCCTCCTTCTTGTTTTTACTTCAACGTTGCATACTCTGTTCACTACTTTTTCCCAACATAAAAAAAAAAAACAAATTATTTACACTTTCGAAATTGCAGCCGTGCATTTTTACACACACACACACACACACACACACACACACACACACACACACACACACACACACACACACACACCACATCCTGATTTTTATAGATAGATTTAATAGACAGGATGAAATACCAGTCTACATAGTCTAGGATGTCAAAATTAGGGATTGAAACTGCTTACAAAGACATTAAAACAGTTCCTTAGTCTACATGTTGATTCCAAAGTAAAACAAATCAAATGAATAGCTAAGAACCATTTATCTAAAATTTTGTTTTTTGTTTTTGTCCATGCTCAAGTGCGTCGAGGATCCATTTCAGCAACACCGATCATGTGGAAAATTTCTTTACATTATTAGGCAAAGAATCCATTTGTTCCTGATGAGTTTCAATTGAAAATATAATGAAAAATATATAATATAGTCTTACACTGGACGATGGTTACAAATAGTAATTGCTACTGTGAAAGATAAATGCCTAAAATGAATGAAGCCAATATTACCGTTCCTTCTGCGTATAATAACCAGGCGTAGCGAATTTAAGATTTCCAACAAAAAAACAAAAACAAAAAAAAAAAAAAAACAACAACAAAAAACAAAACAACTTTTGGCTGTAATTATGAACTCTTCCCAAATACAGATGTAGAAATTTGAGAAGAAAGTGTCTATCTTAAATGATATTTCTTGGATTTACCAATTTTGTACGTGTCTCCATTCAATGATCAACAAGTAAAATAACACTCACCGACTTACAAGATAATGATATTCTTTCGATCTGTGAATCTTGCTTAATTCATTAGCAGATGGCATAGAAAATGGTTGATTTCTTTTGTAAAACATTCTAAGAAATTTATTGTTCGTCTTCATAGATTTCTGCTCATTGTTTTGTTTTTCTACGTCTGCGACAATGTGGACAAGTTCGCTAAAACTTTTACACTTGAGCATAGACAGGGACCAAGAAGAAGAAGAAGAACAATGAGGAGGGAAGTAAAAAAAGAAGGAGAAGGTGAAGAAAAAAGACGGAAAAGAAGAAGAAAAGAAGAAGAAGAAGAAGAAGAAGAAGAAGACGGAGAGTAAGAAGAAGAAGAAGACGGAGATTAAAAAGAAGATAAAGTGCGTCCATCTTTATTGATTTTTTTTTAACACGGAACCTGGGTCAACAGAAGTGATGGCGGCAAAAATTGACAATGTTTAAAGGTGAAATAAAGAGAATACTGCATTTATCTTGTGTTAATGGAAATGGATGGATAATAAATAAAAGGAAAGTAGGAAGAAAATCAAAATGTTGGAAAATAAATGGAGGTAATCAGCAAATATTTGTAGTGTCGAATTTTCTTTCGTTCAGCCATTTTGTTGTTAACACGTCCGTGCCATATGTTTCCCAATTTTTTCTTCAAATATATTTTTTGTTTCTTTTTCTTTTTTCCCTTATTTCTATTCTTTTTTTCTTTCAGCACTCTCTGTCTATTTAACTTATTTTCTTATCTCTTTTCTTTTTTAATCTCTCTTATTCTCCTTTAACTTCTTTTCTTTATCGCTTAATTCTTTCATTTCTTTCTCTGAATTCTTCCCCTTTCTTTTATCGCTTATTTCTTTCCAGCCCTCTCTTACTCTTTCTCTTCCTTTCTCTATCTCTTTTTTCTTTCAGCCCTCTCTCTGTTTCCTTCACTTTCTTTCTTTATCGCTTTTTTTCATCCCTATCTCTGACTTATTTACTTCCGTTCATTTTTCATCCCACTCTGACTTTTTCACTTCCTTTCTTTATCTCTTTTTTCTTTCATCCCACCCTCTTACTTCTTTACTTTCTATCTTTATCTCTTTCTTCTTTCCCTATCTCTCTACTTCTTCACTTCTTTATCTCTTTTCGTCTGTCCTCTCTCTGTTTCTTTTCATTTCTTTTCCTTACCTCTTTTTTCCTTCCAACCCTAATTCTAACTTCCTTTCTTTATCTCTTCTGTTTTTCAGCTCCCTCTCCGACTCCTTCACTTCTTTTCTTTACCTCTTTTTTTTTCAACCCTCTCCCTGACCCCCTTCACTTTCTTTCTTTTCTTTCTTTCTTTCTTTCTTTCTTTCTTTCTTTCTTTTTCTTCAGCACCATTTCCACTCCCATATCTCTCTTTAATCTTTCCTTTAATCATCAAATTTCACATTTTTTTACCCGACCCTGACCTACTTTCTTCTGGTTTTTCTTATGTTATCGCAAGACTCCGATCTGTCGCCGGACACAATCAACCACTTAACACATAAATTTTGAAACCCGGTAATAGTAATGGTAAGAGACGCTTCTTTATATGGAAACATTTAATGGACGATCATTTAAGTGCAATACAGTTTAGTCGTTGCTAGTGCTGGTAGTCTTCGATTAACTTGGTTTCTATTATTCGCTACAGTTCAGAGTTTGTAAATCTGTAGAGCTAGTTTTGTTAAGATTATTCCTACCAATAATAAATCATAGTAGGACTTTCTCTTAGGATTAAGTCAATTTAAAGGCTAAATAAATCTCGTGAGAAGACACATCCATGCCCTTCACCCTATGTTTTCTTTCTATATGCTGGGGGTCGTTTGCTTTAGTATATAGTCTGGACTATTCTAATATATATACTGTGACACTATTTAGGGTTGCGGAAAAAAAACAACAAAATGGCGAGAATTAAATTAGGTGATAAGAACCTATCACGAAAAGCCACTGAGCGATGTTATTTTTTCTAACAAAGAAAAGTGGTAAAGATTTTATTTTCATTAGCGAAGCAAGTAAGTTCATGGACCTGTCGGATTTGATTTGATTTATGTTACGACAGAGCGAATAAAAGATAGCCGTCTGCCCATGGCAATAATGAAAATTTCAAATCGGTCAAGTGGCCTACAAGGCAGAATGCTAAGAGATAAAAATTAATTGGGTCGTGCTCTGACCGCGAAAAATGTCCGCTGGAGCACCCGCAGAGTACAAGGAAGGAAAGATTAAACCTTTAACTATCTGCGGAAATATCATTTGAGAAGAACACCTGTTTTGTGTCGGAGCTGGCCATGATAGCAAAATTATTTTATCGGAATGAATAATTGGCACCAGGGTGCAAAGTCGCCAGATGACCACCCACTTGATGCTGGCGAAAATCTCGATTGACGAACTCCAGACGGCGTTTAGTTAAGATAAGAGTCGTAAGGATTTGTTGTCCGGAAGAAGAAAAGAAAGAAAAGAAAAGGGGAAAAAAAAAAGATATTTTTTTTTCTTTGAGCGAGATATTTTAAACCGAGGCCAGTCTAGCCACACCCACGCTGCTGGGCGTCCATTGGCTGAATGGTGGCGTGAGCGGTAGGCGAAGGTAATCATGTGAAGAAGGAGGGAAGTCCGTTGACGCCCCCTGAAGGGATCGGTGTGAGATGCCACTGTGAGAGAGAGGGGAAACCTGTTGACGCCTCTAAAGAGATTGGTATGAGATACCAATATGAGAAAGGAAGAATTTGGGAAGACGATTCCCTTAAACTAGAATTAAGGACTTCCAAAAATGGAAATTAATATTTTTTCCTGAACGAAAACAAAGGATATCCTTGATGCGGATTTAGAAATATCAAGGAACCTCAAACTCCGACAAGCCCACCCCGGTTTTGGCCAGCGTCCATATAAGCAGAGTCGCAACGAGTAGACGGCAGTTGAGTTAGTTGGGGTTAGAAAGACAGGCAAGAATTGAGCTGTGAGCTCTGAGACCCGCCTCGCAGGAACATGACTGAAAGATCCACACATTCACAACCTCAACTTCTAACCAAGAACAATTTATTTTTGAAGAACGACTTAGACTCACACCACCAAAAAAAGTTTTACGAATATCGCCTGAAGATACTCCAAAACCAGTTTCTTAAAAACAACAATTTAAGATGTTAAGACTCGCCTAACAAACATAATATGTCACGAATCCATATTAGAGGTTTGGGAGAAAGATGCAGTCTTGTATTCAGCAACCAGATATAAAATATTGTTATTCCTTTTTTAACACATTTGAACTTTTCGAGTTATTACTTTATTTTCTTTTACATATACTTGTGCGGTATTACCCTTGTTCGGACTCGACTTGCATTGCGGCCCGGCGACTGATTGATTTCGTCTACCTAAGATCAAATCACAACGTGGGTAGGTTAGACTAGAAATCAAAACAGTTACTTCGGTAACCAGACGTTGGAGGCGAGCTGGGAACGACAAGGCTGATGCCAAATCTAACCAGATTCCCATCCGAATCAGCAAAAGGTTAGAACGTCACATATGGTGCCGCGACCAATACCAAGTCACATTGGTCGTCACAGGACAGGATAGGATGGCGACGGCGCGGAGACAGACGGGGTGACGTCACAATTGATGGCCGTGACCAAGATAGCACGGCAGGCGCGGCAGGCAGACGTCACATTTGGCGCAGCGACCCCAGGGTGACGTCACAATACCAAATAAATCAAGTTTTTCTTATCAGTTCAAATAGAAATTCGTGTATGTATTTTCAACATATTTTCCATCTTTGAAATAAATTGTTTTTCAATTATAGTGTTCCCCATTTTCATTTTCTGTATATTTTATTCATTTAATCCTGTCGTATCTCTGATGTTTGTTTGTCTATCTCGGCACACTTTTTTGCTGAACCATACATTTTCTCCTGCTTGTTTTTCGTTTTTTAATGTTTTCGTATAATGTTATATATTTTGTATCATTCCTTGGTATTGTTTGCAATTTTTTTTATCATGTTGATAATTTCATCAGTCATCCACTGCTTTTTTGTCTCGTTTTCGTGGTATCCCGTTAGATGATGTCATTGGATTTCCTCATAATATGTTCCAAGGAATAATTTCTGCCTTCATTAATTTATTATATTTGCCTTTAACATTGATCGCTACATCTCATTCTGTGTTATTTTAACTTAACGTTTCTTTCGTTTTCTTTAATTTCCAATTTTTTGCGTTTGCACATAGTTGAAGGCTGGCTGGTCGTCTCTCATTCGTTACGTGGATATGTTTTACCGTGAAAAATGTTAATCTCACATTAATTACGATTTGGCTCTTCATGTCGTCTCATTTTTTCAATATCCGCAAACTTTGAAACCAAGTGGGAGTTATTATTTAGGTGTTTGTTGGGCCCCAAAAGTGAAACCTTTTCTCTCAGCGTTCGTTACGGGTTTCTAATCGAAACGTTCCAATTATTTTCAACATCTCGTCCCTTTCCTACTACAACATCAAAGTCTCCCATAATTATGATAATTTCCTCCAATTTGCATTTAGTCTTCGTGTTATCCAGTGTTCTATAAACCTTATCAATTTATTCCTTCGTGCTTTCTGTTGTGCAGTGTGCCTATACAGATATAATGGATATATTAAACGGTTTTCCTTTCTGGTTTAACTAGATGAATTCTTTCAGAATTGTGATATCTCAGGACACATTTCTTCATTCATTTGTTTAATATATCTTATCCTCTCTCATTTTTCTCTTCACCTGCAATGAACGCAAAATCCATCGAAAAATCTGTTTAATGAGCCACATTAACTCCTAATAATCCATAACAGAATAGAATAGGACAAAAAAGTGCTGTTTATACACTGGAACAGAATTAGACTACAAACAGGACAAGAAAAGATAGTTTTGTCATATTACACTGGAACAATAAATCCTATATTTGCAATAAGTTTGGTATCGTAGAGAGCAATGCAAATGAATAAGGATGTAAACTTATGTATCATTGATCAAGGTTCTTTTGATCAGGAAAGACACAAAGATCTATTTGAACTATTAGGTAAACTGGACCTTTTTGGGAAGGATATTAGACTAATTAACATTTATACAATTATTGCAAACCACGTGCGTACGGATAGAAAATGAATGAGTTGATATTACAAAAATGAAAATTCATAAAGGCCAATTTATGTCTTCTCGCTGTCTTTATTCAAACTCTACAGCGACGCAATCTTAATGGAGATTGAGACCCTAACAGGATTTAATATCAGTAGGTCTAATCTTAACAATATGATATGCAGATGGCATTGTGTTGATGATAGATTCAGAATTCTATTTCTTTCATCCAATACGATGTAATGAAACAAAGTGTCATTTAGGTCTAACCATCAACTGTAAGAAAGGTGGTTGTCATTAAAAGATGCGGACTGTAAATTAGAGATGTTAACATCAAAGAATATAGAAGTTTAAACATCTGCAAAGTGTTTTAAACGAGGCAGGAAAAATACAATATCAAAATGTAAACACATATTGAAATCCAAAATGATGCCTTCCTTCAGAGGGAATTTAATTTCAAACAAATTTACATCTGACTATATTTCTAAGATGAGGTTATTATGTACATTATTTACATTATTGGACTATTGTCCTCAACTTTGTCGCCATATTTATTACAACGTTCCGGCCTTTGTACGCTCCAGCCTTCTTCAGGTCCTCAAGGACACATGGTTTGTGGATAAGGGCGTTGGTTAGATCAATAGATTAGGACAGTGACTGGACCCAAAAAAATGTGAGTTCAATACCCGGTTAAGGCAGTGGATTTTCAGAGGGAAAATTAAAAGGAGATAATACATAACTGACATCGATTAAACATGGCACGTGGAACTAGAACAGTCTAATCTGAGAAAAAAATAAAAGGGTTCAGTTCGACATTCCAACCACCTGAAAACTGGCCGGATCGTGAAACGGCCTAAACGTTGTTTCAAATATTTGCGAAAAGATGAGGACAATATTCCGAATAATATAAATAATATACATAATACCTCATATCAGATATATACAGATACTGAAGGACCGAAACGTTGTAATAAATATGGCGACAAAGATAAGGACAATAATCAGAGTACTGTAAATAATGTACATAATACATCATCTCAGAAATATAGACAGATACTTTTTGAATTTTGAAGGCCAAAACGTTGTAATAAATATGGTGACAAAGATGAGGACAATAGTCGAATAATGTAAATAGTGTACATAATACGTCATCTCAGAAGTATAGACCAGATACTGAAAGGCCAAAACGTTGTAATAAATATGACGAGAAAGATGAGGACAATAGTCCGAATAATGTTAATATTATGTATAATTATATCATCTCATTATATATAGATAGATACTGAAAGGCTGAAACGTTGTTATAAATATGGCGACAAAGATGAGGACAATAGTCTGAATAATGTAAAT